TTTCTCTTTTCTACCTTAATTAACGTATATAAATAAGGTAAAACCTTTTCTCTTTTCTACATTAATTAATAAACCTTATATAAATAAGGTTTAAACCTAATAAAATATATGTTGCTCCACTCTTCTGCATCACACACAATAATGACCTTAGTTCCATCTGATATTCTATTTTCCATTCTTATTAATTTGTCTGTTAAATCTTTGTTACGTTTTCAATCTATTTCTAAGTCATGGAATACAATAATCTCTGATGATAAATTCAAGAAAGCGCATTGTGATGAATCTAGAGCTTTGGGACGCTTTAAGTTCTTGTTACGAAGAAGTGTTTATACTAATGACGTTGACAAAATCGACTTTGTAGAATGGAAAAATCCCCAAATTATCATAGAAAAGCAACAGCTTCCTCTATCGAGTTCTCATGCCATATGCTCACACGATGGATTGGTACTACTATACACGCATAAGGCCTACGATACATTTGTTTTATGGAATCCATCAATAAGACGACACAAAATATATGTGTGTCCATATTTGAATGACTCATCATTACTTCCTAATACTTGTGGGTTGTGTTATGATTCTACTACTGATGATTACAAGATTATATTGATTTACAAATCGTTTTATCTTGTTTGCTACGCAAATACGAATTTTTGGACTATGAAAAAAACCCTCCTTATATTAGAGCAAAGTTTAGAAGATTTGAAAATCGAAGATAGCTGGTTTTATGATGAGTGTTGTGAGAGTATAACCGATGGAATTAGCACTAAAGGTTGTGTATATTGGTCTTTAGATAACCCTATTATACCTACTCAATATAGGCATATCTGGAGGAGTAAGGGTCTTTTCCAACACGTACGTATAAATTCTATAATTATACACTTCAATGCAAAGTCTGATGAATTGGAGGTGTTTCCAACACCGGATTTCATAGGTGAAATGGATTTGTATCTTCTCTATGCTTTGAACGGCTGCCTTGGTTTATATGGTGGAAACATGGAATCGAACTTTTGGATCATGAAACAAGATGAATGGAAATTGTTAGTGAAAATAGGTCAGATTAAACCATGTGTAAGATCTAATAAGGTTTTATATTGCACAAAGGATGGTGAAGTTATCTTTTATAAACTAGTGCAACACCTTTATTCCAACTTTGGCCCTAGCATACAAGCTCGTTCTGTCACAACTTTTAGACCACTTGCTAATCATCTTTTAGAGTTTGAGTATCATGATCAAGCGTGTTTAGATAGCTTGAGTTTTCCTAGACTTGACCCTCATGCACAAGATTAGGGTTTTTAATTTTTCTAGTAATTTTCTTTTCACTATCTTTTTATCAACTTATTTTCTTCTCATTTTGTCTTTATTTATAATTTAATAATCATATTTCATCTTTTATCCAACTACATTTTCATAATAGCTCTACCACATACTCTACTGTTCTTGTAGGTTTATCATTCAAATTATGAATGTGTGACATTAAACAATACAATACGTCGTACGATACAATATAACACAATACAATACGATACATTATGAAACAATACACAAAGTGTAAAGTGTAAGTGGTTTCCTTTGTATCTTTGCTTGTGACCTTGATCATTTAATTGCTTTCTATATTAATTTATATTTTCACCATTAGTTATAATTTACTCAAAAATCAAAATATTATCAAGTGTGTAGTTGGTGATGATTTCGTACTTTTTAATCACTTTTATATGGTTTTTAGTTTCTTGTCCTTTCAATTTTTGCTACCATCAATTGTTTTTTATTTATTTATCGTGTAGTTATATTAGGTTCAAAATGCTTGTTATATGCCTCTACTCTTTCTGAATAGCTTTGATTTGGTTTTTCTTGATTAATGATCGATCATAAACAATTTATCTATAGGATAAGATCTACTTACACACTCTCTCCGTAGTGTAAGATCTGCTTACATTACTCTATTATCCTTAGACCATGCTTATTGTACTTATAGACGGTCAAGTGTTGTTTAGAAAATTTAAACAACAATACTTTTCTTGTGCTATATTTATACATTCTTGTGCTGTTCACTACATATGAATTAATAGCTAAATACTGTTACTGTTTATGCTAGTACTGTATTCTATAATTCACACAAAATGAGAAATGACCAATCTAACCTCTGAAATTCAGCCGTGTTTTTTATCATCACAAATTTGAGTACTAGTTTATACGAAATAAAAGAAGAAAGAGTGTTTTACTTGTGGAGATTTCTTAATTTTATAAGAAATTGATTTTATTTATTTTTTGGTTAAGTTAATCAGATAGTTGTCGAATACAATATTTTTAGGGGTCGTTTGATTTGAATACAAGTTATACTTGGATAAGTTATGCTGGATAAGTTATGTTGGGATAAGTTATAGTAAGATTAGTTATCCTAGCATTATTTTTTATTGATTGTTTGGTTTGTTGTACTAAAAATAATAACCATTACATGCTTACTAAAAATAAGTGATTTGATTACAAAAATATCCTCCTCTTAGAGCATGACGGCAATTGCACCTTTTGAATATATAGAAGCAGTATTTATCTTACAGAAGTAGAAAGACATCCAAAAAATGAACAAAAATTTGGATTCGTGTTCATAAGCATGTTCAACATCTCTTCATCTTTGATGAATGTTGTGTTGGCTTCTTCACACACCCAATTGTCAACTTGGCCTGAAGTTGCACTCCACCCCACCCCACTGTGTTGGTCAAGCGGCAGGTTATGGATTAAAGGGTTTGAAGGGTAATTTTGTCATTTAATAAATTTATCCCATCACAATTTGTGATGGGATTATTATACCACCCTTTTGGAAGGATAACTTATCCCGAGATAAGTTATCCCAAACTTTCCAACCAAACACTAAATTAAATGTCACTAAATATTTATCCCGGGACTATTTGTATTTATCCTTCACACCAAACGAGCCCTTAGATGATAAAATCTAGGATAAGGCATGGGTGTTCCCTGGATTATGAGAAAAATTTGAGACACATTTTAACTAAATCAAAGTCTTATTACCTCTTGAACTCATTCTTTTTTTGTAATTTTGTAGACATTTTTGGCTTACGTGACAACCAAACATTGCCTCGACTACGTGGAGTTACGGAGTGTGCCATGTAAATCAAAAGATATACAAATTTTATTTTATTTTTTAAAGTTCAAAAAAGTAATAGGACCTTAGTTTAGTTAAGGTGTGATATTTGGAATTTCGATCATAGTCTAAACTCTAGAGGGTACAAGCCTTATCCCAATTATTTTTAACAAGTCTAGAAATAATATCACTCCATCTTTTATCATAGAAATCAAATGCAAATATCAAATCCACTTTTTCAAATTTGTTCAATAATAATAACTGGTTACCTTATAAGAGTAGTACTCTAACTATAATTTGAGTTTAACACAATAACAAATAGAGTTTATTCGTGATAATAAACTTTTATCCTAATCAAATATTTATCTAATGATTATTTTCTGCTTTATTTAATTGATTTAGGACATACAATAAAATCTCACTAAATTAATACTCGATTAATTAATAATCTCTCTAGAATAATAATTTCCTTCGGTTCAAACTTGGATTAATGAAAAAAATCACTCATTTCTATAAGATAATAAGATCATATATTTTTAGAATTAAGAGCCCTATATATATATATATATATAAATATATGGTCCCACTAATATTATAAATTAATAATTAGTACAAATATATCAAAGAAAATTTAATGAAATATGATTCTATTATGTTCTTTTTTTGTTCAAATTTAAATCTAGTTGAAGTTCATCTCTAACTTTTATCTTATTACATCCAAAAGTTTCGGTGTTGTCTTTTCTAATTGTTTCATAAAATTGTGAAGAGTTTTAGATGCTAATGTTTCCTTACACGTAACTGGTTCCAAATCATCTTCAACTTTATCATCCATTGTTTTTTCAATGATATCCACAATTTGTTCTAAGCTCTGGACCTTTGAACATGTATCATTTTCACTCATCCAATAGGTTATTAATGTCTATTTTATTGCGGTAACCAAGATCATTAATCATGACCTCAAATTCATGAATGACGTTTTCACAAGTGGGTTCTTTCAAATTTTTTGAGATTCCATCCCTAAATAATATTTCATAAATATTAATAAATATTTATTTCATGGTCCTGCCTATATTAATTTAGAGAGGTTTTACTGTAGTTATAATTTCCTCAAATATTAAAATATTATAAAGGTCGATGATAATTCCTTACCTTCTTAATCGCCTTAATAATGTTCTTAGTGAGATTCAAACTCGATCCATAGTTAGGTAAATTATATTGCGACAATCATGTAGGACGCCACATGGGAACAAAATTATTGTGTAGGATGCCATGTAGGACGAATGTGTATATCTGTTCAATTTTAAACAAGTTTAAGTACCTATTTATATAGAGTGACGGATCCAAAATTTTCATTCAGGGGGTTCGAAAAATAAAAGTATAAACGTTTGAATAAGCCAACAAAACACAATTCCAAGGAAGTAGTAGTTTATAGTTTATAGGTACAAAAAGTTAACTCCGTTAAAAAAAAAACGTGAAAGATTGTTCTAAAACTAAATGAAGAGAAGCTAAAAAAAATGAAATGTTCACAATGGAATTCGATTCCTAAACGCAAGGATCACAATTTAAAAGGAGATTTACTGCACTTAGATCTACACCTTGCTTCTTGTTCATGAGGGGATTCAAAATTGATATATCTATATAAATACCAAAATTTATTTTATGTATATACAATGTCATTTTTACCGAGGAGGTTCGAGTGAACCCTGAGAACTCACGTGGGTCCGCCCCTATTTATATGCTATCAAAGTTAGAAAGTTTAGATATGATCTGAGGTCAAATTAAATTATGTCTTCTGTTTTCAATTTCAGTTGTTTCTTTTTACATTTTTTTCTTTTTCAAAGAACTCCAAAGTCAAAACGGCGTCGCTCTTTGTTCTTTACTTTTAGATGCGTTCGTTATTTGGGAATTGGAATTAAGAAATCCCTAATTTCAGAACGTGAAAAAAGCTGAAAGCCTGAAGGAGTGGAACCTCTTCTTCTTTAATTATTAGCTGCTCAGTTCTGCAATTTGTTGTCGCCGCCGGTGGTTGATCATGGCAGTCACGGTAAGTTCCTTTCTCTCTCAGAAGGTAGGAAGCAATTTTCGTTTGTCACTCCTGTTTAATTTAGTATGATCAGATGATGATGTGATATGAGCTTAAAATGAAGAAATGAAGATTCATATAGCCGATACCAGCTTGTTTGGGACTGAACAATAGTTGGAAGAAATGTTCACCTATCAGTGTATTACGTATATTAGTTAACCTTTCCGAATTTCTCAATTCAATGACCTCGACTTTATTTTCGTCATCTTGCTCCATAAATCAGAAGTATATTTAGTTTCATCATTGTTAGCCAGTTAGTAGGTGTAAGTTTGTAACCGTGGCAGAGCTAGAATTTTTAATAAGGGGGGGTTTCAAAATCTGAAAAAGTAAACACACGAACTAACCTAAGGGGTTCGACATCTACTATATATACATAAAAAAATAATTTTAACCATGCATAAATAGTAATATTTTCCGCCGAAGGGGGTTCGGATGAACCCCTAACAGTATGTTGGCTCCGCCCTGTTTGTAACATGCTTCCAGCTTATATCTCTTCCATTTTTTCTAATCATAACTGAAGGGAATTTATGGATTAAGGGAGAAGGAAGAGAAGTATGATATGAAATTATCAAATATTTGCATCTTTAGCATAAATAAACTCGCTGTAAGCTAAATAACAGTTTAAATCAAACGTATTGTCTATAAAAGAAAGTCTGGTGCGACGAGCTTGACATTGTTACCTTTATTTTTAGTTAGATTAACAGAATACAGATTCTTAGTTTTATATAAATAAAAAACTTTCGTAGTAGTATAGTAATCAGTGTTGTGAGAGGCGAGGCAACCCGACCCTTCATCGCCTATTAGCTTTGTGGCGAGACGATCTTTAAAAGACGACGCCGTGACGACTAAGGCGAGAGGCAAGAAAGCCGTTGCCTTTTGTATTTTCTTAAAAAAAGGTGACCACTTTAAGGTTTTAAAAGTTAAAAGGTAATTGTAGGGTTTTCTTTTCAAATTTGCACAGTTGCACTCTTAGACTGCGATTGCGACTCCAACTAGTCAACTCGACTAAACTTCTCCGGCGACTCCAAAGTCCAACCAATACGTATTTCTTCTTCCTCTGTTTCTTTTTTCTTCTTCTTCTTCAGAGTTACTTCTACTTCTGTTTTGTTTCTCACTGTTTTGACTTTTGTTTTGTTTTTTTTTCATTCATGTTCTAGACTTTTAGTATGTATCATCTATTTTCAGTTTTTGAAATGAAATATTTGCTAATATGTTATTGCTACAGAGAGTTTAATTATTTATATATGCAATTAAAATATTTTAATTTTAAAAAAAAGTTTTTATAAATTTATATAATCTGAATAAATATTAAAAAAAAGATAAATCACCAAAAAGGTAAAATTACTAAAATTTTGTTGAAAAATCAAAAAGCCATGAAATAAGTGGAAAATGTATATAGATCTACTTCATCATATTACCTACAAGATGAAAATTGCTTCTAGTCTTTCCTTACAATCATTCATGTAAAGAAAGAAAGAAGGATATAAAATTTGTTATAATGAATCAACCGTTATCAAAGTGGAGTTCACCCTCATCCACACCATCATTCATATTTTTAGTATTTGTAGTAGTCTATCTAACTTCATCACTAATTTCCACATGCCTGTGTTACTGTGTTTGCACTAGATAAATTTACCACCTTTTCATAATTCTTGCTAATTTTTTTGGGCGTTTCATTGATGTGCTTGGAGCATAAACAATGTTATCAAATGCGAAACTCTAAGGTCCATTAGGGCTTTAAGCACAAAGCGCAAATAAATCGTGCCCTTTAATGAAGAAGGGGACAAATGGAGAAAATATACAAATATGTATGTGCAGTTCAAGACGAATAACTATAATCATGAATAACAAATATATGGACAAAAAAATTGAAAAAAATCATGAAGAAGTGAAATGTCAATTGTTTAATGTCCCTTCTTCAGGATCATGCACATTGGCAAGGACAAGTATGTCTTAAGCGCGCATTTGACAACACTAGCATAAGATTGTAAAAGTGTAGAGGGAATTGAATTAGTTTCCAAGTGTGAGTTTTCTGCAAATTAGTGTTATCAAAGGCGAAAAGCGCAAAAAGCTCTAAGGTCCATGGGGGCTTTAAGCGCAAATAAAGCGTAGGCTTTAATGAAAAAAGACCCAAAGGGAGAAAAGAATACAAATATATATGTTTAGTCCAAGACTAATAATTATAAACATGAATGACAAATATATGACCAAAGAAATTGAAAAATTATGGTTAAGTGAAATATCAATTATTTAGTTTCACTTCTTCATAAAAGGCTCATTGGCAAGGAAAAGCTTGCCTTAGAACCTTGATGACGACACTGAAGCGCACATAAAGCGAGGTGAAGCGCTCAACACGTTTTGAGCCTCGCTTTAGGGCTTAAGCGCGCCTTTGATAACACTGCTGCAAATTGTATAACGACTATTACATTTAGGTAGAGCCGTAGTTTGGCCATCTCACCCCACCCTTTTTTTGGTGGGGGGGGGGGGGGGGGGGAGTGGGAATGGGTTGTTTTCTTGCTAACACACCTTTCTGAGGTGTAAATGTTGTTTCTGAGGATGTACTATTGTTTTTTCTCTAAATTCGAGTTTTCATTCTTTTGTAGGGCGGCCAAGACGGAAACGGTAGTATACTGGTGCTTGTCGAGGATGTTATGGTACCAGTTAGTGTGGTATACAATGCAATCAATATCTTGAAGAAAGAGGGAGTTGAGAAGTTGGACCCAATGATTGTTACTCAAGCTTCAACCCAGAGTAAATTCTCTCCCTTATGTGTGCTGCACTGATACTTCTCTAGTCTTCTTAATGCTTATGTTGTGACCAACTGACCATGAGTGACTCGCTTTGTTTACTATGTCAGTTTTTTGCTCACTTCATTGTCAGCGTTCAGATCTTTTTATCTTCATTTTGGGATGAGGTTATAGATTACAATACGTTTGCTAGTCTATTTGGATTTGTTGACATTCGTGGCCTCTTCCTTCTTAAGTCTGTCGCCATGTTATACCTATCAAAGAAAAAGTTTGTTGCTATATGCCTATCAAAAAGAAAGATTGCTGCAATGTTTTTTCTAGGTTAATTAGATGAAGAGTTTTATTCAAAATTTTGTTTTTGGGATTTATTGATGAAAGAGACAAGGTAGGATTTAGGGGGACACAAGGGGGAGATACTTTTTGGGATCTCCAGGACTGGGAGGTGATGATTTTGAAAGATTGTTAGCTTTACACCATTAGCATTGTGAGCCCATCTAAGGACCCCATTCTATGAGATGGAAGTTGGGGAACAAAGACGTTTTTTCTGTCAAGTTCTTTTATTAGAAGCTATTGGTCATTAGGCGTTTTTTTGTAAAGTTGATTTGGATTCCTAAGTTGCCAAGGAAGGTGTTTTTTTCTCATGGCTAGCTGCTAGAGGAGCGATTTTGACGGAGGAAAACCTTAGGAAAAGGAAGGTTGTTTTTATCAGTTGGTGTTACTTATGCTCGGAGGCGGGTGAAGAGGTAGATCATCTTTTACTACACTTCTGTCAGGCTACGAGACTGTGGTGGGATATGTTCAGTTGGTTTGGTATGTCTTTGGTGATGCCAAAGTCTGTCAAGGATATGTTGTTTCTCTGGAAAAAGCAAGAGGAAAAGCAGGGCATGGAATGTTATTCCTCTAGCTTTAGTATGGATCATTTGGAAAGAGTGAAATATGAGAGCTTTTGAAGGGGTAGAATTTAGTTTTGGGCAGTGGAGTAGTAGTCTTCTATCCCTTATTTACTTTTGGTGCATCCATGTAGTTCTGGGATGTTTAGAGGTTTGGGTATCTTTTGTAGAGAGCTATATCATTTGAAGGTTCTTTACTTTTTGGTATATTATTGGTATACGATCAATTTTTGGCCTTGGATTTATGAAATGATACTGTATGCCTCAACAACATACCCGGTGTAATCCCACAAAATGGGGTCTGGGATGGTAAAGTGTACGCGGACCTTAGCCCTACCTAGGTAGAGACGCTGTTTCCAATAGACCCTCAAATCAAGAGAAAAAAACAGTCCAAAGCAGCATAAAGAAAGAAACAATGGAAATGATAAAGTCATGGCAAGATACTATAGACAACAGTACAAATCAACTTGATACTATAGACAACCGTACAAATCAACTTGAACATAAGTCCTTAAAAGATAAAACAATAATCGAAGTACAAAAAGGAACGAATAATTACAAAACTCAAAGGACAAGAAATTACCAGGGAATACTATGACTACTAGTACAGAGAAATAAGCGAGACAACACTTAACTATCTAACTAACCTTCTACCCTAATCCGTGACCTCCACAACCCCTATCTAAGGTTAATTATATTTATTCTCAATGCCTTGGTCCAAATAATTAGTGTTTATTTCTATATTTATTTATACTTCTTGATATTCACATACACATCTTCAATGTTTGCCTGTATTTGCTAAAAACCTGTGCTTTATGCTCAAAGCCATAGTGGATCTTGATGCCTTTTTAGCCTTTTGGCTCTTGACAAGTCTGAGGACTAGTGTTTCTGTTGTATGCGATAACAAAGGCAACCTGGTACACTAGAATGGAATGTGGAGCCAATTATTGAGAAGTCCTTTTGTCCAGAGACTAATTAGAGTGTTAGAATTGCAATATTTTCGAAGAATTGTGCGTATCTATATGACGTAATTCTTTCCTTCGCATGGATCCAATGTCTGAATCTTTTTTGAGAAGTATATGACTGTAGATTAAGTATTCTTAGATTCTTCTAGTGGGTAGTTTTTGGAGATAAATAGGTGACTTAAGAAAGCTGTTTGAATAATTAGAAGTTGTTTCTACAACCTTGAATGCTTCATGTAATAGATTCTTAGCGCAGAAACAGAAGAAACTGTTCTTCTCCACCGTAATTCTGTCATAAAACATGAAGTTGGTACATAGAGAGAGAGGGTGTAGGTGGGAGGAGCATTGTGTGGAGAAAGAAGTTCTCAAGTTGGTGGTAAGAGAGGGAACTTGTCTCCTTAATATTCTTCTTTTTCCTTTAATTCTCCCCCTTTGACTTAAGTATCTTCTACCTCTGTTTCATGTGCTTACCCCTTGGCTAGAGGTCCGTAATAATGTAGTCTTTTTCCTGCTGTTAACATCTCGTTATTACAGGTCTGACACCAGTGGAGTCTGCATCTATGGATGTTGTTGCTCTCATCTGTAGGTCCCTTGAGTTTCCTAGTGATAAATTGTGTGGGGACATCTCAAGAGTGTTGAAGCCTGGTGGAACAGTCCTACTTAGCCTAAGTTCTCAATCAGTCTCGAAGGTGAGTGAATTGTCACTTTATGTGTATTTTTTTCATGGAGAAATTGTATAGGGGTGTGAGTTGTCCTTTCATCTGAATTGCAGGAAAAATCCACCCATGACCGCAAGTTATTATTGGCTGGATTCTCTGATACACAGTCATTTGAAGCTGGCCACTCTATCGTGGTTAGTATTTCATCCACATGCCTTGGATTTTGCTCATTGTCTTCCTCCACAGGACCACATCATCCCCCTTTAAAAAAAAAATTCCTCTCTCATTTCAAATTGTGATAACTCCTTTTTTTATAAATAAAGTTGTCATAAGTTTCTTAATAGCTATTTCATGGCATTAAATTCATTCAGGGCTTTATTTTTATTGGTGTGGCAATGATGCTAATCTAGTCACTGATAATACTGTTTTGATGTTTATTCAGTTTTCAACTGCAACCCAAGCCTTGAAGTTGGTCTTTATTAGGGACACTTTTAGATTGAATCTAGTGTTTAATAGGAATCTTTTGGCTTGGTTAAATATTTTATGATGGTTTCTTTCATAGGGATACATTTAAAATTTTGAGAATCCCTAGTTTTACAAAACCTCCACTTGACCTAAATGATAAATTAAGAAGTAGAATGACGGGCCCAAATGAAGCGGATTGGATATAGAGGATTCACAAAGCTGACCCCAATTAGTTTGGACTGAGACACATATGTTGTAAAAAAAAAAAGCCTTGAAGTTATTGATCTTGACTTAAAAAAGTCGTGTGGCTAATTTAATCCGTGAACAGATAACAGCAAAGAAACCTTCATGGAAGGTTGGTTCATCCTTTTCTATCAAGAAAGTCGCAAAAAGTTTACCGAAAGTTCAGATTGTTGATGATTCAGATCTCATTGATGAGGATAGCCTTCTCACTGAGGAAGATCTGAAGAAACCACAATTGCCAAGTGGTAAGTTTAATGCACTAAGGTTGTTTACCTCTTGACATTATTAGTCTTTCAGTAGTATATTTAATTCAATTTGTTGCTTACCTGCCGGTGCAGTTGATGACTGTGAAGTTGGAAAAACAAAGAAAGCATGCAAAAATTGTACGTGCGGACGGGCTGAAGCTGAGACAAAAGTGCAACTTGGACCAACTGCTGAACAACTGAACAATCCTCAATCTGCCTGTGGCAGTGTATGGTTTCTTTTATATTGATTTTTGTCATATAGTAGATCACTCTTGTTGCCAAAATTATTTGGAATAATTTTCGTTCTCCCAGAACACTTCACCTCTTTGAATGAGAAGTTTCTCTTCAGAGGAATCAAAATGATGTTTAATAATAATTATTTATTTGGTGGGAAAATTCTAGTCTAGTACATAAGTGGTGTAGAAAAGTAAGAGTACACAAAATATGGTTTTCCAAAAAAATACATGTCTTTTTTAACTGGGACCTCATGACTTGTTGCCTTTTTTTTCCTCTTCTTTTGAGAATGGTAAAGTTCATGACTTGTTGCCTTTTATGTCACAGTTTTGTATAAGAGCTTTTCAACTACCTAATTTGTTTCTTCGCCTTCTAAATTATGTCACAGTCGTTCATTATTGCTAAATTTGTGTCATTTGGTAACTAATTGATGTTTATAGTGTGATTAGCAGGCAGCTGAACAAGTAGTCAATTCTTTCTTGACCCCTACCTTTCTTGATCTGCTTTTGAGTTTTGCAATTGATTTCATTTTTAAACTATGTATTTTTGGGGGACATGTCTTTGATGTCTGCAGTGTGGCCTTGGTGATGCTTTCCGCTGCAGTACATGCCCTTATAAGGGTCTTCCTCCATTCAAACTTGGTGAAAAGGTACATGTCAAGCACAAGCTACTCTTGAGGTTGCATTATACATGAATAAGTGTCCATTAATATATATAATAAATAATTTTACCAGAGGAACAGATTGCAGTATACACAAAAGACAACGATTACTAACATTTTTTAGTAATGACATCAGTGTTCGTTGTGAATATTTTTTAACCAAAATTTGATTGTGTTGGATATACAAGAAGAATGGAGCGAAAAAAAATAAAAAATAAAAATGGCGTATGTACTGTAATACTGTATTCACATAACCTTGAAAACATGACACTTGATTATGTGCTTCACTGAGGATGATTCTTTGAAAGCCCTAATCTTTGATTGATTTCATTATCATGTTCTTGTTTGCATTGTGATGGGCGAAAGTCTGACACTACTCTCTCTCTATCTCTCTCTCTCTCTCTCTCTCTCCTTTGGCAGGTAACGCTTTCTGCAAACTTTCTTGACGCTGACATCTAAGTTCAGATCATAACAGTCAATATAGGATTGCTGCAACCGTTATACTTGGGTCAAAGACTTGTTACTTTCGTTCTCTTTTGGTTGACATGAGACAAGTGAATATGTAATATGTTCTCTTGTCGACGAGAGGGAAACAGCAGTGTGCCATGAGCTGTTGTTAGATCGTTAAGAGTTGATAGAAAATAAGTGGATTTACATGACAGAATGCAAAGGATTGGAACAGTTCTTGAGGCCAAGATGTCAAACAATTTAAGTTCTCATTGTTATTTTTTCTTAGTAGAAGGAACAGATGGATTTGTTTTGATTTTGATTTTGGCCTTACATTGATCTTCCTTATTACTCCTATTGAGAACAATAAAGTATCTAAGTATAAGGATATTTATATAATAAAGAAAATTGAGTCACTACATATAAGAATATTTTTTTACCATTATGATTTGTTAGTTTTATATTTTGACAAGTTTTGTGTTTAAGAGGATTGTTTAAGCATTGAATTCATCAACTTTTGTTGTTACTGAAATAATGTTAAATGTGTGTCTTTATGAAGACTTCTTTGTATCAGGTCTAAGCAAGAGAGACCCAAAATCTTATTAATTGTAATTTAGATTACCTGGGTATTACAGACTTATAACATTATACACAATTATTTGTTATAAAGTAAATTATCCTAAGCCAACCTTCAACGTGATTCTATTTTTTTTTTAAAAAAAATCAAAATTAAACAATTAAAACCGTAAAGAAAATTCAATATATCATTACTTTGAAAATCCAATAAATTGAATAAGATTATCTTGTATTTGCAAAATCAAACACGTAAATTTCATATGATTCTTTTTGTCTTTAATTTTGAAGAAAAGTATTGAAAACACTCATGAACATGGCAGAAATCGAGTTTTTTAAAGACGGTAAATAATTTGAGGATGAAGTTAATATACTTCTCTCTTAATTGTATATTTTCCCTTTTGATTTATTGACAAAATTAAAAGGTGGTTAAAAGATTTATAAATTTTGTCTTAAATTATTATTTTTTTACAGTAATTTACCTTTTTATGCCTTATAGTTTCTCTATTTCCAACAATACCCTCAATAACAAAAGCCCTAAGCTACATTCATTCTTCCTTACTTCTTTCCTCCATTGCCATATCTTTTCCTTTCTTTTTTCCTCCATTTCTGAGATTTCAGTGGCAAAAGTAAGTTATTTATCCATCACTTCAAGCTTTACAATTTCTCCATCTGTTATTCATCAATTTTTCGGTTTCAGCGGTATCTTAACAATTTTTTGCTTTTTAAAAAAAATTTGCGTTTGTTTCTGCTTTGATTATCCAAATTGAAGATTGTCTCAGCATCGATTTCTTAATTTTTGAATGAATCCTTGTATAAAAATTAGATCTTGATTTTCTGCTGCTTTTTGTTTTCATGGATCTTTAAGTTGTACTTTGAGTTAAAAGAAAAGGTGTGTTTGAGCTGTGGAAATTTCATTCAGCTTGTAATGATAGACTAGAACATGTTACTCTGTGTATTTTTGTTCCTTGGGCGTGAAAGGAGCAAGTTTGAGTATCTTCTTGGTGCACGACTATAACGATAATTACACATGTGAGATTGGGTTGTGTGATCTTTTAGACTACAATTTGTATTTTGTACATAACAGATACCATTGTAGGACTCTAACTCCACTATGCTTAAGTACAATAGTTATACATATATTACACATCCGTGGGCTATTTTTTTGGGCGGACTGCTATTTAAGTTAATTTACCTGAAAATATTTAGTTGGTTTTGTTTCTAATGCATATGGTACTATTGGATTAAAGTAGTTACAGGAATGGTCTCTTTGAATCTCTATACCTCTAGGATATTACATATGAACTTCCCATTTCTTAATTATAGTTTGATGTTCTTTCCATTTGTATATAGGAATCGCACAGTTATCCTTTAATCATCTAACAGTGAAATAACTTGATGATAAAGAAATGATATCATTTTATGAGTTCAATAAGAAGTTGGAAAGAAAGTATGATGGATTTGAGGTTTTTGTAAGAAAGATTATTCTGATTATTCATACTTTTTTTGTCAAAATAAATGCTAAGTTGAAGTGATTTGCATTGTTACAGGCAAGATGAAACTCATTCGGAGTGTCTTATGGGCTGCCAATGCTTTCAAATTACGATCTTCGGATCATCCTCAAGCTTTCAGGACCTTTTCAACACTTCCAAATTTTGGTGGGTACTGTTTATTTTCCTCTTGTTAAATGCTGTGCAATTCTCTTCATCAAATTGTGTATCGCTTCATACCTGGTTTCCATTTTTATTCGAAGTGTGTGAATTTAGTTTTGAGCTTATTTTGAAGCGTATTGTCCTAAAATTTTATTTCAATGGTTGCAAGTAACTGTTTTGCTTTCCAATTACACCAATCTTATAACATTTATTTATTTATATTCAATATTTGTCCGATGCAATGAATAAATCTTTTACTTGATATTCAAGATGAATGATGCATCTACTTGCTGGTTTACTGAATTTCACTTGAAGAGTGAAAGCTTCTCCATCCTTAATTGCACGATTTTAGATAAACTATTCATATTTCTCTCTCTAGTACACGAAGAATTTGTTAAGTTGTTTCAGACTGAGGAGGATCAAAAGATAGCATAAAGGGAGTATGCATCACAATTATAATGTAGAATAGTGGACTATCAAAATGGAAAATGGTACTTGGAGGTTTTCCTTGCTTGCGGATTTATGAATTACCTAGGATTTTATGGATATTATTTGATTCCAATTTCTAAGTAAATGGAAGATTTCAACTAAAGACTACGATTTTTGGGAATGAAGGTGGAAGATAACCTATTTTTGATGGAAAGGATGGAGGACTAATATTTTCTCTGTTTTCTTCTCACTTTGTGAATATGCGTATTATACAGAAAAACAGAAATCTTGCAAAGAAGTGATAAAACCAAATTAAGAAATCATCTCATATAGCATTAGGAACAGGTGAAGACATAAAAAAAACCTAGCGCTTACCTGACTTGATTACTTTTATTTATGCTGCTGCTTTAATAGGTAAGCGAGAAATAAAAACTAAGAATAATCCTGTGTCTTTAAGCACTGCAAAATCAAAATTCTCTTGTTGGTATCCCATATCGTGTTCTTTCACATTTTTCCATGATGGGAACTTGTTGATATTGGCTATCTGGCATTTTGTTGTATTTGTTTACCCCACCCTGATGGATTATTATACTACTGTTCCATTTCTTGATAAACTAAGGTTTTTATTAAAGATAGTCTGTTGTTCCTAGTGTGGGAGAAAGAAAATGGCTCACTATACGTCGTTTTGTGAGACCTTATAGTTAATTTCTCCGAGACACTTCTAAAGAGATGGAGTAGAGATTTTGGATTTTATAATTAGCCTCACCATTACTAGCTTCTTGAGTAACAGAAAGGGAAATGGGCTTGATTCTCCTTTCCTTTTTTAAATCTATCCTCCCTATATTCTAATTCTAACTCTATCTTGTTAATTCTATATAGGTTTTGATTGTTTGTTTCAATTCCCTGTTTCTTACGATTTGGTTGTTATCAATGGTAGAACATGTGATCTATAATTAACTAGATGTATTTAAACCTGTTACAATGTCTATCTAAATTCAGCATCTCGGAGATCGAGGAATCTCTTCTACTTTATCTTCTGAGCTTCTGAAATACACATGCCCTTGTGTCTTATTCTGGTCTTAAGATAAGCGTTTTGAACTTTTGCTCAAAGGATCATTTTGGTGCAGGTATTCAAGGGAAGACTGAAAGCAAAATATACAGTAATCAGAACTCAATTTCGGGTATGAATGGTTGTTCAACATGTAATGTTGGTAGGAGGTGTTTCTTACATTCTGGAAGCCCAAAGGAAGCTGAAATGGGAAACAATTATAGGCCAATGGACTTTGTTAGAGGACTTACGGAGGACAATGCAAGGCGTTTCCCGAGTGGTGCTCCACTTTCTAGGTATCACATTGAGCAGGATGCTGATATTGTTCATATAAAGGTTCTTCGCAACAATGCCTTTGTAACTGTGACAGATTCAAAAGGGAATAAAAAGTTTGGAGCTAGTGCAGGTAAGCTAACAGGAAAAGGAGGGAAAGTTGCAAGATACTCTGCTGAATCAACTGCAGAACATGTTGGACGTGAAGCCAGGGACCGAGGCTTGGGATCCGTGGTCATGAAAGTAAATGGGTTTACTTACTTCAAGAAAAAGAAGCAAGCTATTCTAAGCTTCAGAGAGGGTTACACTCATTCTCGTGGAGATAAGAACCCTGTGGTATTCATTGAGGACACAACACGAAAACCCCATAATGGATGCCGCCTCACAAAGAAGCGTCGCATCTAATTGCTAATCAGGTGGAATGCAATGAGTCACTAGTCTTATGTGTTACAGGGAATGAAATCCTTTTGACAGTTTAATAAACAGTCCTTGCTAGATTTTGGAGGCTTTCAGCTGTGTAGAGTAGACTGCTTCTGCTTATCAATTTAGAGAACATCTGATGTACTATTGACAGTAACAGATAGCAAATACGGCCTTGTTTTGTACAATTGGTGCAAGATTTTTCATTGATGCCTTAACCTCTGAGAAAGTTGTTGTTTTTGTCAAAGAGCTGTACTATCACTGATATTTATTTCTCATATTTGTAGTTGAACTGAACGTGTATTCCCCATTTCGATAACTGCAACAAGTGTTTGTGCCGAGGTTTTTATTATCAAATGTAGGGGTGCAGTGACTGATGCATCTAATGGATTTCTTGTACATGATTTTGCCTATATATGAAAAGAATTTTTGTCGATGTCTCCTGGTATAAATGCTTCAGTAGATTGTACGTTAATTGATTTGTTCTTGCTAAACAGAACAAATGTTTCTTTTGGTATGAATTGAATTTTGTATGTTGTGTGGGAAAAGAAACATTCAATTTGTTTTGAACAAATTTCTATTTTGTGTGGGCATCTGAATAAATTCTACTGTGTGGTGCAAGGAGAGCTTCTACCCCATCCCAAAAATCTTTCTAATGAGGTTTACACTTGGAAAATCTCTTAATTTTTCCAGTTCAACCAACTCAGTTCCTGTTGCGCGTTTCACTCTTGGAGATTGCAAGTGGTATTTATTATTTAGATCGATCAATTGTTTTTCCTTGTTCTAGTGTTTAGATAATTTGACAACTAATGTTTATGTGTGGCATTGCCTCTCTACCCTGCATACATTCTACCCTCCCTTTAACTCCACTCGTGGAATTACACTTGAGTTCTG